AAAATTGATTTATTTCGTACATTTGTCCCTCCGATTTTGTCTCGCCTTCACAACAGGCTTTGTCGAATCTGCTTTGTCGAATCTTTTGTTGGTTCAGGTCCTTCCACTACAATCGTGGACTCTTCTTCAATATCATTTAGTGGTCCCAATGCACTCGGGTCGGACCTACCTTGGTAAAGTGCACTAACTGGAATCCCTCCTTCACTCATGCACTCCCGTGCCAGTTTATTCTGCCCGGTCGACAACACCGCACGCCTCTTCAACCACCACCAAACCAGCAAGGCCACGACTATCATTAGTATAATTCCCACAACGGTCGGCCAGGTTATTATAGCAACCAAATTCTCTCTCCAGCCCGAATTCGGCATAACTATCCTATCTAACTCCGACTTCAACCGTCCAAGATCAATCTTATCGATTGGCTTTAATAACGCCGGCATCTTTTCTAGCGACATCTTAGGAATCTCTTTTACAATGGGTTCCCACAATCCCGTCCATCCACTGGTATTCGTTCCTACCAGCTCTAACAAAGCCTCGTTCTCTTCAAACTTCTCTTCTACTTGGTAGTAGTGAGGGAAAGAGATAGATGGACCATGAGCTCCACAACCAATGGGTAGCTCTACAAAAAACAAAGGGGGAATAACTCTTATCATTGTGATGGGCTTCCCTTCACACACCTTAGACAATTCGATCGCTTCTTGTGCGGCCACCGCCCAAATTCCGTCAGAGACACTGGTTGCTTTAGGTAACATTACACTAGCCAACTCCTCTACCTGACAATGATCTCTAATTCCTTTCTTATTTTTCTTAAATAAATCTAGTACACACAGATTATGATTACATGTTACGTAAATTGGACTTACAGACCCACAGGTACCTAAGGCATGATTCTTGTATTTTTCTGCTTCTCCCTTTGTTAATAGCATAAACTCTGTCCTGGCTAGATTTAGGGCAACAAATTCCGTCTCTACCTTGTACCTAGCCACCGCTCCTATCTTCGGACTTAGTTTTGGATAGGGAAGGGGAAGATTCATCACCTGATAAATTTCAAAGGTACTCTCTCTGTCCAGTAATAGAACCGACACTAGCACTAGCAATTTATCATCTTCCAACAAGGGAGTACATCCCAATGCACTATAATACCTCCATAACTGCTGGGTGGGGTCTACAGGTAATCTAAGATGATGGTGGAGTTTGGCTTGCATCTTCAGTAGTACTTCTCTAAATCGTTCTGGAGTTATTATACTCGGAGACAGGTGTCCCAGCGACAGCATGTCTAATTGTGCTCTCACATGCTCTAACAACACCGTTAAAGAGTGACTTGTTTGACGTACCTTACTCATTATAGCTAATAATTAAAAATACCTTTGCAAAAAGAACCTCTAATTTCTGTAATTCGGTTGTTACAGACGTAGTTACATTTATCAGTTCGTTTCTAAAAAAAAACCTTTAGGTGAGAAATCAGCGAATACATACTCACTCTATTCTTAGCCAATTCCAGCCTAGTAACATTGAGTATAGATACGCTCTCTCTAACCGATTGAGCCATTACTTGTTGTCTCTGTTCTCCCACCTTTAATTTCCTCTTAATTACTCTCACTTCGCCTCCTGAGACTGTACCAAACAACACGCTTAATGCCTTTCCCATTATAGGTAATACTGCCCTCTTTTGCCTGGTCCGTAACAACTATATTCCTTTCAAATAATATCTCATATCTTTCCATTGTCTCTCAGGTATTAGGGATTCCTGAGCTAAGGGGTATAATATATATAATATATATATATAATATTCCGGAGTCTGTAAATAGTCTCCGGCGACTTGTGTCCTGGCTGTATCTAGTTTGTCCACTTCGGTCTTCAACTGACCCAGTAACTTCTCATACGGCTGCAGGTCTATCACCAAAGTTATCAACTACTTTGATCTAGTTATAATCACTTCGCTAGTCTTCTTAAATACAGTATTCTCACTGTGTTCCCAGGTATTAGCTGCCACAACTAGCATCGTCAGTACCACGAACCTCCTCTCGTCCATGTCTGCAAGGAGATGAAGAGAATAATTCATCTTACTCAATCATTCTTTTATTGTTTTTTATCGGGTGGTTACATCTTAGAGCGATACCTCAAGCACCTACCCCTACCCCCACCAGTGCCGTGCATGCATGGGTCCCGTCCACACAGTTCACCAGCACCGATGATAAATGCACAGACAGTCACTCATTCACTACAGCCACTGTACTTGTTTCACTTAATCTTTGAGCTCGAGCTGCAACGCTCCCCTCAATCGCCGTATTAGAGGTAATTCCCCATTAACACTAGGTGCTTTTTCAGCCCGCAATTTACTCTGCAATTGAGCTAACGGAATTTCATCCTATTCTTCCCATTCTCTCAGTTCTTCTTCTTCCCTGAGTTTAGGCTCAATCCCTGCTTCCTCAGAATGTCCCGCTGGGGGCCGATTTACCTCCTTCGGCCTTTGAAGGGTAGTTGGGCTAATTTCAATCTCCTCACTCTGATGCTATTCACTTTCATTCTCAGGTTTTACCAACGTAGTTTTCCTCAGCCTTTTCTGTTGAGTTTTTGTTTCGGCTCCTTTCCATTTTCCTATTTCAGCTAGCTTTATATCATTCACATGCACTCTCTTTACCTGTACGGTCAAATGGTCCCAGATCACAAATCGTGGACTTTTCTTCAATATCAGTTAGGAGTCCCAATGCTCTCTCTCTCTCTCTCTCTCTCTCTCTCTCTCCTCTCTCTCTCTCTAACTACAGAGGGAACGTCTGGTTAGCAAGGTCGAATTACTGCTTTTAAAATACTAATTTCCCATGATTTCTCTTGAACTCTAATATCTTATCGAAGCGTATCTTAACGTAAACAAATGATTGCATATATTATGAAATGCACTAAGTCCGACAATTATTTTATTATATTTATTATTTCTCGGACATTTACGCCGATAAATATTGTTAATACTGTTTATTATAAACAGAGCATTTACTTAAATATTTGTTTCTATAAAAATAACGTATAAACAAATAAATAATATTAAAACGTATAAACAAATAACTAATATTAAAATATATGTATATGTACAAAAATATATGTTTTATGTGTGCGCGCGTGTGTGTATTTTGTCGACGTTTATTCAAATCCGCTGGTTTAAATTTCATGTCTATGTGAAAAAATTGCATTGAGTGAGCGACTACGTGATTAACTCAATAAGATACGAAAGTGTGATAAATGTCCTCAAAAAAACTGATCAAATGGCCAAAAATCAATTTTTTTCTAATCCGTTTCTGGTCAGCTCGAAAAACTTTCAGCTTTTCCTCATAAATATCTGTGGTTAACGTTTCGTAAAGATAGTAGATGCAAACATTTACTGCAGTTTTAGAACGGATATTTTAATCATATTTATCTATATATATAATACTAAAGCTCTAACTATGTATGTATGTACATGTTTTCTCGAGATACATTTTGAACTATACATAATTCTCCAACAAATTTAGTAGCATATTGTAACTTGAACAATTCCCTAGTGCAGTGGCCAATTTTATTAAAATTAGACCAGATTTTCTTTCGATAGTGTCGTTTTTCTATTTTATCGGCATTTTTAATAGGAAATTCACTATTTGTTTTCAATGCAAATACTTATATAAAACCACAGACAATTACATATTATATTCCAAATATTAAGCATTTAAAAATTAATAAATATGCATAATAGATTATACCAACATTATTAAATGAATTTATATCTACATAGCGCAATATATATTGATGCTATTCACTATATTATAACATTTTTATGAACAAATATCTCGAACCTCTGGCAAGTAGTTATAGGTGAAGACACTGTTTGGGTGTGTCCTTGGAAAAACATAATCAGTATGGCTGGAAAATTGTGTCATGTTACGTATTTTGAAATTAACGTGAGGAAAAAACAACTGCATATAATAAAAATATAATTATTATTTTGTAAATATTCCCTACAAAAAATGAAACTAAATACGCAATAAGGAGGCACCCAGACTTTATGTTATTTAAAAAATAATTAATTTCTCTAAACTGACTATTGCTGTTTATCTGTTTAATTTTCAATGACCTTCACCCTTGAAAATGATAATATGGTAAATACTAAATTTGTTATAAATTGTCACTCCTGAGTTGCTATTACTTGAATTGAAAGGCCTTTAGTGTTGATATCAGTTTGAAATTCCATTCAAAAAAAAGGGTCTCTTATCAATTGTTGCGCCGCATATGCAATGTAATCAGCAAAATCATTGGAATTCTTTCTTTCACGTGAAAAGTTTCTTCTTTTAATATCATTATGAAAAAAATTACTCGCTAATTTTGTCTGATAGTACTTGGCTCAGGTTCACGTATTTTGTAATAAACAATTCCTTTTGAATCTCACGAAGCACAGAGAAAAATAGGTTGATACTTTCAACATTCTCATGTCTCTACGTGTTTCTCTATAATAAGTTAATTTGTTATAGTCAGTGTGAGACTTGTCCAACGTGACGTTTATGCGAAAACGAAGTTTCAAACGATAAACTGGGTTAATTTCTGTATGTCCACGTGGAATGTATTTCAATCGTTTTTAATAATGATTATAAATGACGTCGTAAATTGTTTAATGGTACATGCATTAAAGAGATGATTATATTTTTAAAATACTTCTAAGATTTCAGTATTATTGTGACGTTAATTTTTTTTTAAATAAATGGATAGACTTTGACATCTGATGAAATCTCTTTATAAGTATAATAGAAATGTTACAATGCATTTTCGTTTCCGTTTGTTAAAAATGACACAAATGACACTCGCAATTGGCTTTGGTTGCAGTCATGTAAAATTAGCTGTCCTAAATTACTTTCTAAAAACTAAGTGATTTGTTTTTTACGGCTTATCAAACTATCGCAAGCTATTTAAAGCAAGAAAATATTTTTACATCGTAAGAATTGTTTTTGAGATAAGAAAGATTAACTATCGCACATCCAAGTTTACAGCACTTGGTATTCTCAAACAGGCACCTATCTAGGTACTGACCAGACTTTATGTTGCTTAACTTCGGTGATCGTACGAGTACCCCTGATTCAATCTGGTATGGCCGTAAGACAATTATTTCCTAAAAGTCACGCTAATATAAAAATATCAATATAATGTGCATATACTTTCAAATTACTGATTTTGTTTTACCTGTTGAAATTTAAAGCGTTTATTCCTGTTTAGACGCATTGCATATAGAAGTCTTATCACACCATTATTTGCTTTGAGTTTAAAGTTAAAAAAAGTTAAAATATAATGAATTACATAAGTTATGCACAAAACTGAACTATTACTTAAATCTTCCTCTACAACATGGAGTATGTTTTAGTTTGCGTCAACCATTGAAGAATTAATTCTCTATGAAAGTTTCACCTCTATATCACACTGTCTACATCACTGTACGAGGTATGCTAAAATATTTATTATGTTTCCAGTTAAGTGTATATTTCGGTTAGCTCTTAATTAAACCTTATAGACACTTACGTCAGTAACTGGACCTGGTTTATATGTTATTACGACAAATAATTTCATAAATACATATGCATGCATATATATATATATATATATATATATATATATATATCTTGTATTTATATATATATTTGATATTATTTTATTATACATTTGTTGATATACATATATTTGTGTATATGCATTTTTTTTTAGTGATAGAGCATTTATAAATAGTTTTCCGCATCTGCGGATGATTGTTAATCCTAACATACTGTTATACATATTTGTATGTCTGTTCCCTCGCTCATATGCATGAGAGTATGGGAGTATATATAATTACAACCTAATTTATTTTTCCTTTCATTTTTCTTCTTTTTCTTTTTCACTTTCTCTTATTTGACATCATCTTGTAATATATATTTCGTTTCTCGTCAACTTATCACTCACAAATTAATTTTATTCGGTTGACGCAGTCAAGAGACACAATTTCATTCTTCTAAAGTCAGAAGCATGCCAAATTCGATCTTGTTTGTCTACCGTTAAATAAATTAAATCGCCTTATCTATCTTATAGACTATTCTCCGCCAATGAGTGCACGCGTCATTTCTAATTAAAACCTACACTTGAAACATTTATCTAATCAACCTAAATCTTACAAATTAGGCAGAAAGCAAAAAAGGGTTTTTCGTAGTTTCATTTAATATGTATATGTAGCCTTACATTATTTATGCATATATTCTCAACATTTATTTCGATTAATAAATTAATAATAAAATAAGAAAAGTAAGTTGAATTTTTTTCCAAAAATTCACGAATAAATTCCATCATAAAAAATATATAAGTTTTAAGACCAGATTTAGTAAGTATACATATGCTTGACAATATTCTCCATCACTATATCTGAAAATATTTGTTCTGCTACTAGAATATTTATTTCCTTTTAACATCCATATAAACATATATTTTGACTGGTATATTTATTGTAATATTTGATTTTTATTGTCTTTACATTAACTCTACTATCTACAGAATTAAGCGATGTACAAAACTAGCTTTTAAACCGTTCTATCGCTGAATGTTTAATGAGGCTAGAAAATGGGAATCATTTATTTCCGAAGAGTATACCAGGGACAAATTTTGGGCAGATATCAGCATCCCAGGAAAACTGCAGGGTGCACACAGGTGATGCAAGAACAGGAGAGCTAGTGGCTGACAAGGATGATAACCAATAAACGAAGAGAAATATTGCAAAATTCACATCCCAATTTAATACTATTGCCGCTCCACCCATCATTGAATGATTTGTATAACATGCAACGCATTTCCTGGTGTTTCGGTTATTATTGACACTACAGCATCGGTTAGTATGTCTCACTCTGCATAGAAATTATTACCAGATTGAAGAATGGTACACTTTCACCTGGTCAGACACGTTCGCTTTTAAGATGAAACACTTTGGAACATGAAATTCAGCTGACTCCTACGTAGTCCGATGGCTCTTGCACTCGGAGGTTTAAAATCCATTGAGCACGCTTGAGTCCTGTTGCAGATCTCAAATTTCCTGCAATCACACCTCAAAATCATCTCAATTAAGGAGAGCCTTGAAAAGTGCCTGGGTAGGAATGCCTACGCAAAGAATATCGAACCACGCATCGTGTAACCGCCGTTATACAGGCGAAGAAAGGAGAAAAACGTTATTCGGTAATCGTGTGTAATTTTGTGGTGCTTCAGTTTAATTCGAAGACAAATACGGCGTCAGAGTTGACTTCTGTTATTATATTTTTCTAATAATCAACTGTAATAATAAAATAAATGTATATCAACAATATAATCAATATAGAATCAACGACACAAATATAGGACCATATTCGTCACATATACAATAAAGTCAAACACAAAAATACTATTTTATCAATACTTACATATTTTTACAGAACCTATGAAAAAACCAGAAGCTGACGAACACACAGATATCATTTTTTTCCTTTAATAAATCGTAGTAACAGTAATAAAAAAAGATCTTCAAGTAACAACGAGTAGGACTGATACCGGAATTTTTAAATTCTGTTTTTAAGACTTCAAGATAAAAACGTTTAAACTGATTAACATTCTTGAACACCTAACTTGTTGAAAATATCTTCGAATATTCGCTTCAAGGTCATGTAATAATGACAGACAAAAAGACGTACATTTATCCGGAAAGCTCCCTTAGCACGCGTTATTAAAAATTAGCGAACCTAATTATAAATGATTCTTGTTTTTAAGCCATTGATAACTAATATATACAGATAATTTTGCTATTTTAAGTGTTTCATTATTAAAAAGTATTAAAAAAATCTACAATTCTGATTTAATGTAAATACGTAATACTTGACGTGTAAGCCAATTGCTAATCATATTTACATATTAGTAACAGCTTATTACTCCTAAATATGTTGCAAATTAATAGATTTCCCCAGAAAAAAATTCAGGGCTCAGCAAATTTCTAGAAAACCAAAACCACATGTTATTCTAACGATAGATCATCTAATTTAATTGGCCCGTGAAAAAAATCTAGAAAAAGTAATTAAGAACTCGATGAAGAAAGCATTTCTAATTTTTGGAGCTTTACAAAATTGTTGATGTGGCGATAAATTAGTTGTCCAATGCTGAGAAAAGTAATCAGAATTACTTATTAAATAATATTGCAGAAATAATTGGTGCACTATATTTAGCCGACGTTTAATAACTCTAAACATTTAAATATTGGCAGTAAAAAAGCATATTGTCAAATACTGAACAATGCACAACAAAAGTACTTTTTTTATCTTTTTTTCTACTTGCGTGAGCTCATACCTCACAAAAAAAATAAAGCTTTCAAAAGATTGCTCTGTTTATTATGCATAATTATCGGATAAAAGTATTGGTTTTACCATCAGATTAACGATAAAAATGAATTTGCATACCTACTTGTGTGTAAAATACCATATTTAACTATCTAGAAATTTCTGAATTTGATGGTTACCTTGATTATTTTTACTGACAGAGTAGTTGATATAAATGTGCTAACATGAATTTGGAAAACAAGGCATTTGCATTGTCAGTATTTACTATATTTAATAATAAATAAATTAAATAATTTAATTTGCTTCACACGAATTATATTGATATAACCGAGCAAAGAATACTTCTTGAACACAGTCTTACAGGGCAATGGCCTCGATACGCTTCTTTGAATAATATGGTCGTCAGTAGAGTCCTATCTACATTTAACCAGACAAATCGATTAAATATATAATGATAATTCTGAGCAAAATTTGAGAAATTAATACACATGAAACTAGAATTTTAATTGCAGAAGAGTTAGAAGGATCTCATCTTCGATTATATATATATATATATATATATATATATATATATATATATATATATAGAGAGAGAGAGAGAGAGAGAGAGAGAGAGAGAATGTGTATGTATATGTATATATACATATGCATATTTGGGTATGCTGATTCCTTTTTATAAGACAGTATGTATATATGAGGTTTGAATTTACATATGCAGGCTAACATAACAGGGAGAAGAAGACATCTATCAACAACACATCTATCATCACCAGCTCGCATACCATGCATCATTGTTTTATTAACACTTAGGTAGAAATTCACTTTCGCCAACAGTACAGAAAGGAATTCAAGTTTCAGTAACAAATACAGAAAACAAACAATGAAACATTAAAAAAACATAAGGAAAATGTATTCCTTTTAAAAATGTATTCCTTTTATTTGCCTGAAGAAGGGTAAGGGACCGGAAACAATAGAAAAAATATAATATATATACTTTAACAAATCTTCAATCTAACCAAAACGTGTGCGGTTTCTCTGTCTTTTTTTTTTAAATACACATTTTTTTCTCGATGGAACAACTATAACCTTATATATATATATATATATATATATATATATATATATATATATATATATATATATATATAAAGTTATGGGATAAGAATCAAACCATCGCCTGAGGAGGCACAATCAATTTTAGTGCTGAAATATAAAAGCTATTGTGTTACGATTTTTTTCATGTTTTGTTTTAGTCTTATATAATACATACACACACACACAATATATATATATATATATATATATATATATATATATATATATATATATATATATATACACAGTGGGGAAATAAATATTCGTACACTAGAAAAATTGTATTTTTATAAAATATAAAAGCCATATAAAACAAATTTTGATATATTTTTATGTAAAGATGGATTTTATTAAAAATTAGTAATAAACTTAATAAATATTCTAACAGAAATTAATGCATTTTTCATTTTAACTGATGAAAAAGTATTCGTACAAAACAAAAAAAAAGCATATTAACTTAATATAGGTACCTCTATTATTTCACTGCATGACAAGAACGGTCTGAAAATTAACGAAAAAATTTTTTTCATGATAAAAGTATATTTCATTATTGAGAAGAAACAAAAGTATTTTTTATTTTTGAAATTTTTACTAATTCTTATACAGAAAAAACGAAAAAGCTCTATATCAGCCATATTTTTAAAAATTTTAAAAATAAGTTAAATTCTTCGTTTAAAATTCGTTTAAAAATTAA